TTGCCCATTTCAAGTTTTCAGTTTTCCAGTTCATGTTTGCTGATAGATTTTTAATAAAGATAAATTGTGCATTCATCAGTAGTGGATTAGAGATATACAGTTATGTTCACAAGTGGGCCAATTCAATCCAGTTTTGTTCAGGTAGATATTTAATGATGCAGAAAATAACAATCTGATTGTACAATTCATTTATGACGCTTTATAATAACAAATAAGTGCTATAAAATATTTGCTTGCATAGTTGCATTAATTAGCTGTGCCCATGCTTTATTAAAATAAATAATTGCCCAAAAATAGTTTTGCTCGCGCGCCTTGCATGCTCGCATTTTTTTGGGTGCCCTACTGTGCCCCTGTATAGTATTGGGTCAGCTGACGCCCCTGCTCTGTTCAGTCATTGATAGGAGAAAATCTGCTCTATTAGGGGAGAAGTGAAGCTAATGGGAGCAAAAAAAAAAAAAGCCAATTTCTGTATTTTCTGTTTCTCTGGACTCCAAACAGATGCTGTGAAATGTTAACTTGAAAACAGATTTCAGAGCAGAAACTAGTGCTTGCAGTGAGGAAAAGATGACGTCCCTTTAGGTGTCCATCATCAGAAATGAGTGGATGACGGCGTGGCGGGAACCTTCGCTTCCATGGAGTCAATTTATTTCTGATAATGGACGAATCCGAGGGCTTTATCCTCCTTATACCATCGTAACTTAGAAATATTAAATCGGTTATTGAAAGGTTCGGATTTCCTTTTATCACTGAAATCATAAGTTTTTCACCAGAAGCTCAGTGGAATTTTTAATATCTCTCTATATGATATAGATTGTTGCCAAGGTAACGGCTCCGGCATCAAAGCTGCAATTTAAAGTCATGTTAAGTGACACAAAGTATCAGACTAGAACTTTTCATAGATTACTTTTTTATTGGACACCCTGCAGCCAATCAGAATCAAGGATTTACCCAAACCATAAAGACCTGATCAACAGCTAATTCCCCTGAACTCTGATCAAGAACCACACGGCATTCTGGGAGATGTAGGCCGAGTAAAAGTATTCAGCCTCAGCCAATAATAGTGAAGCTCAGCTAGGGTGGTAGGGCGGACATACTTTAAAAGGTTAAAGGATGTTTTAAAGGGATTAGTGTTAAACTTTTAACCCTTTATAGGGCAGTTTAGCGTTTTTGTTCACTAGCATACCCCTTACAAATAGAGCATTTCTTATAGAAGCACTTTTGTTATTTTTCTTAATATATTCAGGCAAGTTGGAGTTTCTTGTTATTACATTGACATTAATTTATGCCATCAAATATCCATATTTTTTGAATGTTACAAAGGTAATAAGGTCTTGTCCTGGATTCCAATAATTCACCAAGTGTCCTATAAAGGGTTAATCCAGGGTTTTTTCTCCTGCTCCTGTTTTCAAAAAGGTAAATAAAAAAATAAAACAAAATCTGTTTATGGACGGATCTGGAAGGCCCAGCAGAAACGCCAGCTGCTACGGTCTGACACATTTAGTTACTCCAGAGAAGATTAATTTCTGTTTGACATCCCAGCATCCCCTGCTGTCCTGTGTCCTAATGCTGAGCTCCAGAGCCGGGGTCCTGCTCCTGCTCAGCAGGTCAGCAGGTTCTGCACAGGCCTGGTAAGAAACTGTTCATCTGACTCAGGAGCAGAGCGGTCAAAATATTCATGTTTATTACCCCAGTAGACGTATAAATCCGGCTGGTTTAATAACACTTTTATAGAAGTTAGAGGATCAACTTCAGCTTCCTACTCCAATGTAAAAGTACCATTTTTAAAATTGATTAAAGGATAAAAGTAACTAACTACACTGCACTACCCTATTAAAGGTGCATTTTTCTACAATTCTGGGTGATAACTTCCTGCATTCAGACCGCACGCTGCAGCAGCAGCTAAAACGTGCGTGCTGCTTCATTTTTGATACTTGTATAAAGTATCTGAAGCATCTTTGCATCTCTAGCTGCGCGGTGGAAAAGTGGGTCTGATGTGCGTTGGGCGGAGCTACCCTATCCTTTTCTTTGCCTGGAACAATAGCAGCTATATTTGCTGTGATGATCAGTGGGTAAAAAGTAGTTTGAACAGACCATGTTTTCAGGAGGACTTTCTCACTTCAAAATAGATTCAGTCAGTTCATCCAGATTACCATCCTGCCTTCAAAGATTATTTCTCTGTGGGAGCCGCTCAGACCCCCCACATAGCAGCGGTCACTGGGAATCCCCAGCAGCAGCTGCCTCAGGCCTGCTCGCCTCTTGGGGGTTTTCCCCTACTGTTGGTGGCAGCTGGAAGTAGATGTTAGCGTTTTTCAGGTATGTGCTACAAACTGCAGGCACCAGGATAATAAAAGCAAACATATTCTGCCGGCAGGTTTCTACATTTGAAGTTAATTTAGGCGTTAATAAACTGTTTCAGAGGAGTGATCACAGCGCTCTGCATCAGCAGTGCTGTGTCTGACTCCCTGCCAGCTACCAGATCAGCTTCTCTCATTGATTGATGTGGCGAATCCAGCAGCAAAAATAAAATGTTTCCAACTCCAGCAGCTGCTGTTTCCGAAGCGCAACACGCGCCTCACATGCTGAGAAGCTCATGAGGCGCTGCTTCTGCTGCTCTAGACATGCTGCAGGACTTTTTGCTGCTGCATGATGCGTGTCAACCATTGACTTCTGCTGCTTGCCGTCTGAACGCAGCAGACTTAATTTTCTTAGTTTTACTCTGCCGTTTTACTGTCATTACACTGTCACTAGAAGAGAGCAATGAAATTCAGTCTCTGCATTCAACCCATCCCCTTGGGGAGCAGTGGACAGCCATTGTGCAGCGCCCGGGAGCAGCATTGGGTTAAGGTTCTTGCAGACCTCCAACCCCACTGTGGGGCTTAAACTCAGAACCCAAGCGCTACGCCCCAACCACTAGCCCACCACCCCCCAGAGCAGGCATTAGCATGAAGGGTCTTGCTTAAGGACTAACACTGGCAGCTGACATACAAACCCAGGCTTCCTGTTTGCAGAACAGGTGACTTACCAATTAAGCTAGGCGGCCGCTAGACTAATTTATAAAACAATAACATTTTTTTACTTTTTTTATTTTAATTTTTAAAGTAAATTTGTAACTAATTTTATCAAATTTCATCCTAAAAAACTATTTTTGTATGTGGTGAGCAACAAGTTGGGGCAGCACCGAGTCCAGCCACAAAAAAATGAATAGTCTGGATGAAACTAATTATTTTGACGGTTTTTATTGCTTTTAGATACAAACAGGCCATAATGAAAAGGAGCTGAAATGAAACAAAACTAACGAGTCTATTTTTAAAATGTAAGGAGTAGAAGGAAAAAGTTGTCTAGAAAATAATTACTTCAGTAAAGTATAGATAGCCTACATTTTTACTTCAGTACAGTAATGAAGTATTTGTACTTAGTTACTTGACGCCTCTGACTCAGGAGGATCTAACCCAAGCGGGACCCTGACCTTCATGGCTGCAGCCGACCCCCTCTGGTCTTGGAGTTGTTGGGTCTTGAACACGGAGCGGAGCGGCCGGGAGACACGGAGTGGCTCATTATTAGAAAGACGAGCACCTTCTCAATCAGTAAAACACACTCATCGAGGTGAGCCCCATGGAAACACACACACACACACCCCAACAAAAACCAACACACACCCTGAGCCCTGACAGATGGAACATGCTCCTCCATATTCTGTCCTCATAAAACAGGACTGTGGCCTCCAATATCAATTACCCTCTCACTCTGGGTAGGGGGGGGGCAGAGGAAGAAGAACCAGGAAGAGGGGGTTTAATTCTAATTAGATTTTCTGGTCTATTTGGCTGCTGCTTGAAGAAGACAAGAGCTCATTTCACAGCCCTCAAAGCAGAGTGAGGAGGTGCATAATGAAGGGGGAGGAAGAGGAGAGCGGCAGCGGGCTGAGATCCTTCTTTAGCACAACGCTAAACATGCTGCATATGTAAATAAATGGCAGAGACGGATCTGCTGGTCCGCAGAGCGTCTGCAGGAAGCAAACTGCTGCTGCTGAGCTGGCCTCAGACAGGTTCTCCTCTTCCTCTATGGAGACACGTCATCACAGCTGCTTCACTGGCTCAGCTGATCAGGATCTGAGCAGAACCAAGAATTCACTTTATGCTTTAACTGTTAAACTGAACATTTCTGCCCCTGAATCAGAACTTCCACAAAAAACTTCTCCATCCTTTCAGCTTTTTGTAGGTTTTCTCTGATCATCAATTTTTAAATAATTTAATTTAGCTGTCAAACTACATTTAGGTGTAGCCCAGGAATCCTGAATGGACTCAAGGTCAGAGTTCTTCATGCAGCCTAAGCTTAGCAGGTCAAACACCCCATTTTTGATTTTATGGGAAATACAAAAGGATATTAGTTTTCTGTGGAGGTTTACAGACAAAATGAGCCCAGTAATGTCAGGATTGGAGGCGTGTTGGATGACAGAAGACTGAATTATTAGTTATTGGCGTTTGTAGAGGATGGTTGGCTTAGAATTCAGTTTTCTTAGGTACAACATGTTGAGTTTAGTTTAGAAATAAGCTTGATGTTTGATGGGGAAAGAAATGTGACGTAAAAACGACCCGGGGCCAGCGGGGGAAGCTCATTTTTTATTTCTGGAGCTATTTAGTTTAGTTGATTTCTACTAGCTTAGAGAGGGCTTTTAAACTGATTTAAGATTATTATTGTTGTTAATAAATTCTTGTTTTGAAGGGAAGTTGTTCATTTATTCCATATGTGTGCAGAGATAACTGGTCGATCTGAGCTTGAATCTCATATGTTATCCTAAAACACCTGTTCACAGGAAAGCACAGGACAGTCTGAAGGATATGTGATTAAATATTAAATCAGACTAAAGCTGCACAACAGGAGCAGACGTGAAATTATTTATGCATGAAGCTCAGATTGTGCAGGAGCGCGACAATGACGCCTGGATGCTAACTTCTGATAGTTGCTGTAAATAACTGTGCAGTCATTAACTTCTAGGAACATACTCAGCTGCCTGCTGCAGATGGCGGGCCCGGAGTAAAGCTTCGTCTCTCTCCTCATTGGCCAGCAGTAGACGTGACATCAGAGCCTGATCTCTGTCCTTCTGTGCTGCCAGCAACTCCTCCAACACCGCTGCAGAAACAATGAGATGGGGGGGGTCAAAATCTGTGGTTTTAGAAAAATAAATCTCATAAAGGTTTCACTTTGATAAAGGGGGGATTTAGTTAAAACAAGGGGAACCAGAATCCCTGAAGCTGACCGGCCAATCAGTGCAGACCTTATTGCTGCAGTGTGTCTCTGTTTCAGCAGTAATAACACAGAAATGACCACAGCTCATGTGAGGCTGGGAGCCTAGAGACTCTGCTGGTTATTGAAGGGTTCTGTGTGGGCCCCGGCCATACAGTTCCCTGCTCATACAGCTGCTAACATCTGAAGCAGGGACACATCCCCAGCTTAGATGCTCTGGTTTAGCAATAAGAGCTCAGAGTTCAGCTCCATCATTATCATCATCACATCTCTCTAGGTTAGCTAGAGGATCTGGCCAACACCCAGGAACTGGTTTTGGAGAGAAAAATCCAACTGCAATTGGACTGGGATGTCCTGCCAGGCTACCAGGAAGCCAGAGGAATCTAATCCAACCAGCTGTCTCCCATGACCTGGTCTCAATCTGTAGAAGGTCTATAGGGGTGGAACAGAAGGAGGGTTCCTCTGTGCAGAGCGGCTGGAGTCATGAAGGAAATGTCTGATGACACAGAAGCTCTAAAGCCTTAAGGGAATCCTCCTCGCCCTAACAGGTGAATCAGGATGTGAGACGATGGTCTGGAGGGGAGCTCCTCTGGTCTGAGCCCATCTCTGCACCCCCACAAACCACACTGCAAAGAATCATCCAAACTATGAATATTATCTTAAAATAAGTGTGTTATTAATTAAAGAAGGTAAATAATGTGATCTGCTAATGGAAGGACCATTTCTATTAAAATAAGATAATCTGATATTATACACTTGAAATAATTTAATGAGTTTTTCTTTACTTTAAATCATCTTACTGACAAAATGTCTTACTTACCAAAACAAGACAAAGACACAAATTTTAAGAAGAATCAACTTACTCATATTTAGATTTTTACAGTGAGTGTGCAGAGGATGATTAGCATGGCAAAGTATTTAGAGCTGCAGCAGCACAATGAGATAGTCGCTTCATAGAGAGCTGCAGGAAGATGAATGAGGCCAGGGCTGGCGGTCCTGATTTCAGACTACTGCATGCTCCCACCAATGTATCAAACCTTTACCTCAGGAACCAGACATGCTCAGATTAATCAGACATCATCTCTGCATGCTTAAAGAGCTCAGGACCCCTCAGGGCTAACATGAGGTCCTGGCCATGGTGGGGTACTGGCGAACAATGGGTCCTGGCTAACAGTGGGCTCCTGGCTAACAGTGGGCTCCTGGCCAACATGGGCTCCCGGCCAACAATGGGCTCCCAGCCAACAAGGGGTCCTGCCCAGAATGGATTCCTGGCTAACATGGGGTCCCGGCCAACATGGGGTCCCGGGCCAACATGGGGTTCTGGCTAAAATGTGCTCCTGGCCAACATGGGCTCCCGGCCAACATGAGGTTCTGGCTAAAACGTGCTCCTGGCCAACATGGACTCCTGGCCAACAAGGGGTTCTGGCTAAAATGGGGTTCTGGCCAACATGGGGTTCTGGCTAAAATGGGGTTCTGGCTAAAATGGGGTTCTGGCCAAAATGGGGTCCTGGCAAACATGACCTACTGGCAAACATGAGCTCCTGGCCAACATGAGTTCCTGGCTAACACGGAGTCCTGGCCAACATGTTGCCGTGGACAGGGTCTGAATGGATGCAGTGGTGGGAGTTAGTTGAAACATTGGGAGCTGAACGGTTCAGGAACATCTGAACTAATAATTATCCACATCCCCAAGGAAGAACTAGACCTTAGATGATCCAGTAGAACAGTCTAGACAAAACATGGAGTATTCCAGGTGGATCTTGGTGAGGAAGGGGAGTGTGACGTGAGCAAACCCCTCCCTCCTTACCTGTTGGTCTCTCCCAGTGTTTGGCTTCTCGATGCTGCTCGTTCAGCTCCTCATCCAACTCCCTCTTCAGCAGCTCCTTCTCCTTCTCTACCATCTGCTTTTGAAGCTGATGAACAGGTTGTGAGTTAGACACTGTGAGCTGAAGCTTAGCTTCTGATTAGGCAAAAAATGGCAGAAGGGGATGCTGCTTCCAGAGAGCAAGCAGCTGAGACTACTGGGTCTACAGGGTCTATAGGGCCTACTGGATCTACAGGGTCTACAAGGTCTACTGAGCCTACTGATTGTATTAGGTCTACAGGGTCCACAGGACCTATTGGGTCTTTTTGGTC